CTGAGAAGTAGTCGTATTCTAAGGATGATATGAATCATTCGTATGGCAATTCCGCCGCTTGTGTCATCAAAGCTTATAGTTGGGACATAGAATTGGAGGTGATACTGGGAAATCTTGCATCCAATGTTGCTCAAGCTTGTAGCTATGACAAACTCTAGGAGAAGTACGTACCCTTCTTATTCATGATGACGATGGAAAAACACGATGGCGTAGTGGCAAACATTGACGTGATCGGATTTCGACGATAGCCAGCGACAACAAGATCTGCTCGACGGGAAAGCACGAGAAAGACCTGTGGTGAACAGTAAGCCTTAATAAACAGAATGATAAACAGTAATCACGGGTAAACAGTAAACTGATAATGGTAGTACTACATCAGTTGGTTGATGAACTGTACACATGGATGAACAGTACCATCCATGAACAGTATCGATGGTAAACAATGATCATGCAGATAAACGATGTCATGAGGTAGCAAGGTTAGGCAAGATTAGAGCTGGTTTGGCTGAGATTTGATTGACAATGACGAGAGCGACGAGCACGAGATCAATGATGATCATGAGGTTCAATGGTGAACACAAGTTGATGACGATGACAGCGGGAACAAATCCGACCTGGTTGAATCTGGTGCCAACGACGCTAACTTAGGGTTAGGGTTTTAATTAGCCTATGATACTGTTGGATAATGTTTTTTTTTTGTGGGAACTCAGTCGCCCTCGTGTTTATCAAACCTGCCTTATTTTTTTTAATGCCTAACTTCTTTGACAAAAAAGCGTCCTTCTTTGACATTTTTGAAGAAAAACAAATTTGGTGGGTCCCACAAGTTTGAAATTAAATAAAGTGGTGGGCCCCACCGAAGAAATTTATAGGACATGGGTCCCACATGAATAGTAACTAATAATATTTTATTAGTGCATAGTGTTTTTCGAAACGCTATAAATAGACCTCAAATCCTTAAGGAAAATTCATTCCAAAAACAATAATCAATATATATAGATATATATTGTAGAATAGCTAGTGCTAGTAGGAACAGTGCCTAGACCGAGAAGGTCTGATAGATCGAGGAGATCTTTGCCTGAGGAGATCGAGGAGATCTTTTGCCTGATAGATCGAGGAGATCTTTGCCTTATAGATCGAGGAGTTCTTGACAGTACTGGGTTGGTGCACACCAGAGTACTGGACTGCTGTTCCTAGAAGCAATTTGACCTTGGGATCCTTGCACCGGAGTAGGCCAAATAATGCTTTAAGCACAGCGTTTTACAAACGCACAGCAGCACCGGAGTAGGCCAAATAATGCTTTAAGCACAGCGTTTTACAAACGCACAGCAGCTGAGTTGGAAAATTCTAAATTACTATACTTCAGATTTCTTTCAGTTATTTGCTGCTTTATATCTGTATTATTCCAGATTTAACCACAGGCGCTAACAATCTTAAAGCATTATTTTTAATCTACCATGGATCCTGCGAGGACTCTTGGAGTGGACTGTCTTAAATTAGAGAACTTTGACGGTTCCAATTTCAACGCATGGCGTCGGAAAGTAATCTTCGGGATGCAACTCCTGAAAATCTACTATGTGGTTTCTGAGGAAAACCCCGACTCTGAAGAAGACTCTGAAGCTGAAGCCTCTTGGGCTAAAGATGATCACTTCTGCAGGAGTTATCTCCTTAATTGTCTGGCTGATCATCTAGCAGATGCTTACACCAACAAGCCTTCTGCAAAGAAAATCTGGAATGCTCTGGAGGACCAGTACAAGGATGAGGAGAAGCTGTCCAAATCTCACCTTATTGACAAGTTTCTGGACTTGAAGTTTGAAGATGACACTGAGGTCTTGCCTCAAGTTAAAGAGCTTGAAAAGCTTGTTATGAAGCTGAAGGATAAAAAGATCAGTCTTTGTCAAACCTTCATCTCTGGTGCAATTGTCAACAAGCTTCCTCTATCTTGGATATCATTCTCCACTGACATTCGAAGAAGGAAAAGACAGGTGACTCTGTCTGACTTGAAGAGGTTCATCCGGATCGAGGACGAGACTCGTACTCGCACGAAGACTGAGCTACTTGATAAGCAGAAGGCGTCTGCTAACATGGTGGCGGCTAACTCTGAAAAGGGTAATTATTCATCTTTCAAGAAAAAGAAGTCTTTTAATAGAAGGAAGAACCAAAATCCGAAGAACCTGAACGTTCAAAAGAAGGAGTTCAAGAAGAGCGGCAAATGCTTCAACTGTGGGAAGCAAGGACATTTTGCCAAAGACTGCAAAGCACCAAAGAAGGATACAACACACAATGTCAATCAAATTGATGATTATGTGGCTATGCTCTTCCAGGTAACAACTCCAAGCAACATATCTAGTTGGTGGTTAGATACGGGTGCTACTTGTCATGTATGCTCCAATAGAGATATGTTCTCTTTTTATGTTGCTACCAAAGAGAACGTATCAATGGCTGATCGTTCTGTGGTTCCTGTTCTTGGAACGGGGACTGTGGTGCTGACTCTTTCTTCGGGAAAGACTCTCACATTGAAGTATGTGAAACACGTTCCCTCAATTGCCAAAAACTTAGTCTCTGGAAGCATGCTGTGTGATGCAGGCATGAGGCTGGATTTCCAAGGAGGAAAGGCTGTATTATCCTTTAAGAAAATGTATTTTGGCAATGCATATCGTACTGATGGCATGTATAAAATCAGTACGAGTGCACCCAATCCCGTTGTAAATAAAGTATCCTCTTCTGCTTACTCCTCTGTGTTATGGCACAATAGGCTGGGACATGTAAATTATAGAAAACTGTCTAGCATGGAGAAGTTAGGATTCCTTCCAAAATGTGGGGGTAACAAATCTGAGAAGTGTGAAGTTTGCGCGCAAGCAAAGCTAACAAGGAAGCCATTTTCAAGTGTTACGAGGAGCACCAACCTATTGGATCTGATTCATTCGGATACTTGTGACTTTAAAAGCTTCGTCACTCGTGGCGGCAAGAAGTACTTCATCACCTTCATCGACGACCATTCTCGCTTCTGCCACGTTTACCTGCTGAAATCTAAAGATGAAGCCTTCAGAAAATTTGTCGAGTTTCGGACTCGAGTGGAGAAGCAGTTTGGACTGCAGGTGAAAAGACTCAGGAGCGACAGAGGAGGAGAATACCGATCCAAGGAATCGGAAGCATACTTCAAGGAGCATGGAATCATTGCTGAAACTACTGCTCCGTATTCTCCGCAATCTAATGGGATTGCAGAAAGGAAGAATCGCACATTGACCGAGATGGTGAATTCGATGCTGATCACATCTGGTCTACCTACCTGCTATTGGGGAGAGGCTTTACTAATGGCAAACTGGATTTTGAACAGAGTACCCTACTCCAAAACTGATAATACTCCTCATCAGTTATGGTTGGGATATCCAGATTCTTTGGATAATCTCAAAGTGTGGGGGTGTCTCGCATACGTTCGAATACCAGATATCAGAAGGCCTAAGCTCGGACCAAAGGCAAATAAATGCGTATTTCTTGGCTTTGCTGAAGATAGTGATGCTTGCAGGTTCCTTAATCTTGGAATCAACTCCATCATTGAAGCTCGGGATGCAGAATTCTTTGAGGATAAGTTTATCAAACATAAAGGCTTATTGCTCAAAGATGTAGCAGAGAATGCTAGTACATCAGATGCACAAGAGGAGCCAGTCAATGATGAAGGAGTTATCGAACCATCTTCCAAACGCGTCAGAAGACAAAAAGATTTTGGAGATGACTTCATCACCTATAATGTGGAAGGAGATCCACAGACTTTTCAAGAAGCAATGCAGTCAACAGACGTTCTTCTGTGGAAAGAAGCTATAGATGATGAGATGGATTCATTGATCCAAAATCACACTTGGGAGCTGGTGGATGTACCTGAAGGTGCAAGGCCTATCAGTTGCAAGTGGATCTTCAAGAAGAAGATTCGTCCTGATGGTACTATTGAAAAGTACAAAGCAAGACTGGTGGCTAAAGGATTCTCTCAGAAAGAAGGTATAGACTTCTTTGATATTTATGCACCAGTTTGCAGGATCACTACCATCAGAGTGCTTATCGCATAGGTGGCGATTAAAAGGTTCGTCATACATCAGATGGATGTGAAGACTGTCTTTCTCAATGGTGATCTCACAGAAGAGATCTACATGGAGAAACCAGAAGGACTTGATGCTCCAGCTGGTAAGGTTTGTAAACTTGTTAAGTCTTTATATGGACTTAAGCAGGCACCAAAACTCTGGCATGAGAAGTTCGATGGGGTTGTTCGCAACAATGGGTATCAAGTCAGTGAATCTGACAAGTGCCTATACATCAAGGTCGCTGAAAGAAAGGTGGGTGGTTATTTGCCTTTATGTGGATGATATGCTCATCATCGGGAGTGATTTCGAGATAGTAACATCTACCAAGAAATTTCTCTCAGCACAGTTCAGCATGAAGGACCTTGGAACTGCGGACGTGATTCTCGGAATCAAAATCATATACTTTGAAGAGGGCATTGGATTGTCTCAATCTCATTATGTCGAAAGCATGCTAAGGAAGTATGGCTACTACGACCTGCCAGAACTGTCAGTGCCGTATGATTACAACAAGAAGCTTCGACCAAACACTGGAAGACCAGTAGAGCAGCTGCGGTACTCAAAGATCATTGGGAGTCTCATGTACGCGATGAGTTGCACAAGGCCAGATATAGCATTCGCTGTAGGAATGCTTAGTAGGTTCACAAGTAATCCTGGAAAGCTTCATTGGGATGCCATCCAGAGATTGATGAGATACTTGAAAGGAACTACAGGTCTGGGCTTATTCTACACTGGATATCCGGGTGTAATCGAAGGCTATTCAGATGCGAGCTGGTGCTCAGAACCAGATGAGTGCAGATCTACTGGAGGATTCGTCTTCACCATGGGTGGAGCTGCCGTCTCGTGGAAGTCTAAGAAGCAGACAATGATTGCACAGTCATCGATGGAATCTGAGTTCTTCGCACTTTGTGTTGCAGGAGATGAAGCTGAGTGGCTCAGTTGTATTCTCCGAGACCTTCCATTGACACGATTACAAGGCGCAATTACTATCTATTGTGATAATCAGGCGGCGAGTGCTGTAGCAGCAAACTCGTTGTTCAATGGAAAGAAGCGGACCATTCGTCTGAAGCATGGCTATTTGAGAGAGCTCATTTGTCAAGGAGTCATCTCTGTGATTGACGTCCGATCTTCAGAGAATGTGGCTGATCCTTTGACTAAGGGTCTGAAAAAGGACATAGTCGAAAGGACGTCTACTGGAATGGGTCTCAAAGTTTTGTAAGTCTTACAAATACTTACCATGTTATTAGTTCAAAGCTTATGCTACTAATAATAAAATAATTGGTTCAAAAGTCAAGTAAGATTTGTAAAGTTTGGTGAGTCTTATAAATACTTACCATTTATATCTAGTTATTAGTTCAAAGCTTATGCTACTAATGACAAGATAAATGGTTCAAAAGTCAAGTAAGATTTACAAGTGAAAGGGTTCAAGTTTTCTTGGATTAGTCGGTGTCTAAAGCAAGGTTTAGGGATTGCGTAACGCGCTCCACAATGAACGGGGTACTTAATTGATCTTTGATCCCCCTCTAGTACTATCCTTACCTGGCTGAACTATTTGGATAAATCTTTGATCTTTTCACGAGGAATCCTATCATGAGAGAGGATGACTCTAAGCCTAATGAGTTGAAAGCATTTCGGATGCATGATGTTTGATAGGAAACATGCCTAAAGAACTCACCTATGCATGGGTGGAGATTTGGCCATCTCCTATGATGTCTTGTGGAAAGATACCTAGAGCCCTAGCAGAAACCAGGACATGCACAGGGCCATAAATGTGCAAAGGCAAGGCAATGGCAAAGGCAAGTGTGGTTCAAAGTGAAAACTACCACAGATAAGTTTGATTTTGTGTGATCGCTGGATTTTTAGACATGTGCTGGTTCAAGTCTCTGCGACACCATGCACCTATCTTTTATTCAGTTGGTCTAATGAAGATTCAAGTCATTACGACATCTTCCTTATGCACAAGATTGAAACGTCGGTACTGTTACACAGCACTAGTTAAAAAAATGTGGGGGATTGTTGGATAATGTTTTTTTTTTTGTGGGAACTCAGCCGCCCTCGTGTTTATCAAACCTGTCTTATTTTTTTTAATGCCTAACTTCTTTGACAAAGAAGCGTCCTTCTTTGACATTTTTGAAGAAAAACAAATTTGGTGGGTCCCACAAGTTTGAAATTAAATAAAGTGGTGGGCCCCATCGAAGAAATTTATAGGACATGGGTCCCACATGAATAGTAACTAATAATATTTTATTAGTGCATAGTGTTTTTCCAAACGCTATAAATAGACCTCAAATCCTTAAGGAAAATTCATTCCAAAAACAACAATCAATATATACAGATATATATAGCTAGTGCTAGTAGGAACAGTGCCTAGACCGAGAAGGTCTTACAGATCGAGGAGATCTTTGCCTGAGGAGATCGAGGAGATCTTTTGCCTGATAGATCGAGGAGACTTTTGCCTTACAGATTGAGGAGATCTTGATAGTACTGGGTTGGTGCACACCAGAGTACTGGACTGCTGTTCCTGGAAGCAATTTGGCACAAGCTTAACAATGGACAAACTTACATCTGCTTTGCTTTAGGTAGCATAAATATTTAGTGTACACATTGTGTTCACACACACACACTATCTTAACATTGGACAAACTTACATCTGCTTTGCTTTAGGTAGCATAAATATTTAGTGTACACATTGTGTTCACACACACACACTATCTTAACATTGGACAAACTTACATCTGCTTTGCTTTAGGTAGCATAAATATTTAGTGTACACATTGTGTTCACACACACACACAAGCTTAACAATGGACAAACTTACATCTGCTTTGCTTTAGGTAGCATAAATATTTAGTGTACACATTGTGTTCACACACACACACTATCTTAACATTGGACAAACTTACATCTGCTTTGCTTTAGGTAGCATAAATATTTATTGTACACATTGTGTTCACAAGAATAAACATATATGCCTGTTGCTGAAACAAGGGCTTATTCTCATCAAATACTGCACATCAAACTGTACAAGATGCATTGGGGTCAGTGTAGTTTAGGAAGCAGATGATAATGGTTCGATAGCGATTTGAAGCCCATGTTTGAAATCAAGATAAGGATGGTGAATAGGCCAATCTGATTCCATCAATGGAGTCCAGGAGTAGTTGAGGACGAGATGGTGGATAAAGAAGCTGGTCTCCAACATCGCTAGCTCCGAACCAAGACACAGTCTCTTCCCTCCACAAAATGGCATAAAGCTCTTTGCATTTGCAACATCCACACCCTATATATGGCATATTTACATGTGGCAGCAAATTAAGTTAGTGCTTATAAACATTTGACCGGAAATGTGTAGTAGCTAGTGGAAGGATATTTCGGTTATAGTTTGGGGTAAACTTCACAATAAAATAAAATAAATCATTAAGTTCGTATGTTTCTCAGATAACTTTGTTAACATTCAAAATATGAAATAACCCCCCTAACAGCGTTAACCACAATTTTCACTAGGGTGGGTAAAATTATATAGAGGAATATCTTTGCCAATAAAACTTGTGGTTCACACTTTTAGGGTGGTTTTTTTTGGAAAATATTGAAAGTTGAATGGAGTTTTCTAAGAACCCTAAAACTTA